CCTCCCTCCCTCCCTTCCTTTCTCCCTCCCTCCCTCCCTCCCTCGCTCCCTTCCTCCCTCCCTCCCTCTTAAATCCACAAAAACAAAACCATTCAGACCAATCCAGTCACACACCCACCTGCTGGTGAAAACGTCCCTCCTCCTCCTCTTCCGCCTCCTCCTCCTCGCCCTCGTCCTCCTGCCGCCCCGCCCCTCCGCGCGTGGCCAGATGGCAGCGCGCCATTGGGCTGTGCGGGAAGGGAAAGGGGGAGAGAAGAGGGGCAGCATCCAGAAACAAAAAGGGGCAATTTGTTGTAACAGATCGAGTTTAATCGCCCCTCCGCGCGTGGCCAGATGGCAGCACGCCATTGGGCTGTGCAGGAAGGGAGGAAACAGAGACAACGGTAATGTTTCTTGAGCAGAAATGAAAAGAAGAAAACCAAAAACTAACAGTGGCAGCAATGGCAACGCACCAGCGGCAGCAGGGGCAGCAATGGCCAACACAACAATGGCAGCAGAGGCAGCAATGGCAACACACAACAGTGGCAGCAATGGCACCACACCAGCGGCAGCAATGGCAACACACACCAGCGGCAGCAATGGCAACACACCAGCGGCAGCAATGGCAAACACACCAGCGGCAGCAATGGCAACACACCAGCGGCAGCAATGGCAACACACCAGCGGCAGCAATGGCAACACACCAGCGGCAGCAATGGCCAACACACCAGCGGCAGCAATGCAACACACCAGCGGCAGCAATGGCAACACACCAGCGGCAGCAATGGCAACACACCAGCGGCAGCAATGGCAACACACCAGCGGCAGCAATGGCCACACACCAGCGGCAGCAATGGCAACACACCAGCGGCAGCAATGGCAACACACCAGCGGCAGCAATGGCAACACACCAGCGGCAGCAGGGGCTGACATACCTGTGCGGCCTGTTGCGCAGGCAGAGGCAGCAGCGGCAGCATTAGTGGTATTGGCAGCAGGGACAGCAATGGCAGCAGTGGCGGCAACAACAACACACCAATGGCAGCAGGGGTTAACATACCTGTGCGGCTTGTTGCGCGGGGAGAGGCAGAGCAGCGGCAGCATTGGTGGTATTGGCAGCAGGGACAGCAATGGCAGCAGTGGCGGCAACAACAACACACCAATGGCAGCAGGGGTTAACATACCTGTGCGGCTTGTTGCGCGGGGAGAGGCAGCAGCGGCAGCATTGGTGGTATTGGCAGCAGGGACAGCAATGGCCAGCAGTGGCGGCAACAACAACACACCAATGGCAGCAGGGGTTAACATACCTGTGCGGCTTGTTGCGCGGGCAGAGGCAGCAGCGGCTGGCTTGACGTGTCTGGCAGAGAGGGACAGCAGAGCGAAACAGGGAGAGAGGTGGGAGAAAGCAGAGTGACACAGAGAGAGAGTGGGCGTGAGACAGAGAGGGGGACAGCAAAGTGAGACAGAGAGAGAGTGTAGGAGACAGCAGTGAGACAGAGAGAGAGTGCAGGAGACAGCAGTGAGACAGAGAGAGAGTGCAGGAGACAGCAGTGAGACAGAGAGAGAGTGCAGGAGACAGCAGTGAGACAGAGAGAGAGAGCGCAGGAGACAGCAGTGAGACAGAGAGAGAGTGCAGGAGACAGCAGTGAGACAGAGAGAGAGCGCAGGAGACAGCAGTGAGACAGAGAGAGAGTGCAGGAGACAGCAGTGGGACAGAGAGAGAGCGCAGGAGACAGCAGTGAGACAGAGAGAGAGCGCAGGAGACAGCAGTGAGACAGAGAGAGAGTGCAGGAGACAGCAGTGTGAGACAGAGAGAGAGCGCAGGAGACAGCAGTGAGACAGAGAGAGAGCGCAGGAGACAGCAGTGAGACAGAGAGAGAGCGCAGGAGACAGCAGTCAGGACAGAGAGAGAGTGCAGGAGACAGCAGTGAGACAGAGAGAGAGCGCAGGAGACAGCAGTGAGACAGAGAGAGAGTGCAGGAGACAGCAGTGGGACAGAGAGAGAGCGCAGGAGACAGCAGTGAGACAGAGAGGAGAGCGCAGGAGACAGCAGTGAGACAGAGAGAGAGTGCAGGAGACAGCAGTGAGACAGAGAGAGAGCGCAGGAGACAGCAGTGAGACAGAGAGAGAGCGCAGGAGACAGCAGTGAGACAGAGAGAGAGCGCAGGAGACAGCAGTCAGACAGAGAGAGAGCGCAGGAGACAGCAGTGAGACAGAGAGAGAGCGCAGGATACAGCAGAGTGAGACAGAGAGAGTGCGGGACAACAGAGCGGAAAATAGTGAAGAAAGGGGGGCAAAGATCAATAGGGAATCAAATGAGCCCATCACAGAGGCACAGGTGGGTCGAGAAGAAAGAAGTTTTTGAAGAACCAAAATGCGAGGGAGAGGCAAGGGTGGGTGGGTGGGGTGGGGTGGGGTGGGGTGGGGTGGGGTGGGGTGGGGTGGGGTGGGGTGGGGGTGGGGAGGGTGGGGTGAGGGGGAGGAGGGAAGGGAGTGGTCTCAAGCAGAATGGAAATTCCAGAGGGGAGAGGGACAGTGCGGAAATAAACAAGAACACAGACTGGCAGGGGGAGAATGAGTTTTGAGACGTCTCAGAGGGGAGAGGGACAGTGCGGAAATAAACAAGAACAACGACTGGCAGGGGGAGAATGAGAACGAAAAGAAGCAGAAAAATAGAGAACGAGGGGGGGCAGGAGGGAGCGAGGAGGGGGGACAGGGGATTGGTTGGAGAAGCAGCAGCAGCAGCAGCAGCAGCAGCAGCGGCGGCAGCAGCAGCAGCAGCAGCAAGAAAGAAAGAGCAGGGCTCGACTTACCCCAGCCAGTAGGTTGCGGTGCAATAACAGGCGCAGCAGCAGGTTTCACCGCGCCTGCAGCACCCACCCCTGCCAACGCAGCTGCAACCGCTGCTGCTGCGGCTGAAGACACAGCAGGAACAGCGGCAGCAGCAGGAGGAGCAGGAGCAGAAGCAGCAGGAGTGGGAGCAGGAACAGGAGCAGGAACAGGCGCAGCAGGAGCAGCAGGAGGAGTGACAGTTACAGTGGCAGGGGCAGGGGCAACGGCAGGAGGAGTGGCGGTTGGGGGAGCAGCAGTCTTCGGCGCAGCAGCAGCAGTGGCGGCAGGAGGTGGTCGGTGGTGGTGGGTGGTACAGTTGCTTTAGCAAGGTCGGCAGGGGATAGAAGCGCCGGCTTGGGAGCAGCCGAAGCTGCCCCTGCGCCTGCACCACCAGCAGCAGCAGGAGCAGGAGCAGCAGCAGCAGCAGCAGCAGCAGCAGGGGCAGGGGCAGGGGCAGCAGGAGGAGCAGCGGCTGCTTGTTTCAGGGCAGCAGAAACCTCTATGGCACCAGGAGGGGGGGTGCAGCACCCTGCGCCTGCGCGGGGGCAGGCGCTTCGGTGGCGGAAGCAGGCGCGGGTGGGGCGGAAGGACCTGCGCCTGGCGCGGAACCAGGCGCAGGGGGCGCGCTGGGCGCAGGCGGAGACGGGCCAGCAGAAGGGGCCGCGCCCATGGGCGCATACTGCTGCTGGGGGGGCGGCATCCCGGATGCTGCTGTGGCGGCTGGTGCGGCTGCTGCTGCTGCTGCTGCATGTGGGCGGGATAACCCTGCGGAGGCCCCCCAGGAGGGGGCGGAGGTCCGCCCATGGGCCCTTGTGCGCCTGGCGGATAGTACCCCTGCCAATGCGGGGGGTAATAGTTCGGGGAGGGGGGCCGGGCGGGGGACCATATCCCCCTCCGCCGTGGGGTGGCGGAGGACCCCCCATCATCCCCCCCTGCGGGGGAGGCGGGGCCCCCACATGCCCGAGGGGGGGGGAGGGGGGTAATGCGGGTGCTGCGGACCTGGGCCATAGGCGCTCGGGGGGGGAGGACCGGGGTAAGGGGGAGGCTGCTGGTATTGGGGCGGCGGCGGCTGCTGCGGTTGGGGCGGGGGGGAGGCTTGGGGTGGCGCTGGCGGCGGGGTTGCGCAGGGGGGGCCTGTGGCGGGGGAAGGGGGAAGGGGGAAGGGGTGTGTGGGGGGGTGAGGGGGGGTGACGGGGGGAAGGCATAGGAGTTGGGAGGGGCGAAGTTGCGAATCACAAGTTATAAGGGGCATCACATCACATGCTCAGCCTGAGTACTATTATAGACTAAACAAATAAGAGAACACGGATGAAAAATAACACTAAAACCACAATGAGTAAACTTAGCAAATCTGACTTTTAGAAGGCGGATACGACAAGATGGATGGTAAAGCCCCAAGCGATCAAAACAGAAGACAGATGGCACGCGACGGCCGAGAGAGGGAAATGAGTTCGTTTTGAGTCGACTCAAAAACAGACTCACTACACGCGGATACGACGAATTGGATGGTAAAGCCCTAAGCGATCAAAACAAAAAAATAGGGTGCAAGCGACGGCCGAGAGAGGGGAGGGCGGGGACGGAGGGGAGGTATGGGAGCGAGGGAGGGGAGGGATGGGAGGGTTGGGAGGGAAGAGAGGGATGGGAGGGACGGGGGGGGATGTGGGGAGCGAGGTGGGGGGAAGGGCGACTGGAAGTAAGGAGATAGCAAATAGCTTGTGAGTGGAACGAGTAGGTGAGCAGAGAGGGAGGTTTCAATCGTAAAATTTGCGAAGCTGGTAACAACAGCACACAGATTAAGGCGCTCGGGCGGCGAGTCTACCTGCTGCTGACGTGGCAAGGACTTGACTTGAAGGTCCTGAAACCGGTGGCAGGAGCGAGGGAACGAAGGAAAGACAATCCAATTGATTGAAAGCGGCAAAAAAGCGGTAAGAAGCAGCATGAAGCGGTAGGAGTGCAAAATTCGGACGACAAACAGGCGACAAAACAAATCTTAATTTGAATGAAAGGCAACAATCAATGTGTCTCCAAGCTCAGGACCTACTAAGCTGGGCATTCAGCCAAACATTTAGCTAAACGCAAGTTCGCAACAGTACGGACAGACAGAGACGATGCTGGGTGAGTAAAAAGCGCAACAGATTATACTTAAATTGGTATCTGTTGTTACTAGAAACGGCAAAGTCATTAGGCAAAAGCAGCTCTAAAGTCGACGCGCTTGCGCCAACAAGGCTCAGGTGTTTTCGTCAAAGCTCGAACGCTAGAATAAATTTTGCTAAAAGAAAATGAGACGCATGCAAGCCAGCAGATCTGAATGGTCGCTCTCGCGTCATTCGAAATGGGCGCAAAACGGAAACGCAACGAACCAAAAAACAAAATAGAAGAAATATGTACAGCAGTAACCTGGTAACCAGACGCACCTTAATATCGGTTCCGCGGAAGATAATGAAGTCGTAAACCTTGTCGCTGGGCGGGATCTGCGGACCGTCCTTCTTTCGCCCCTCCGTCCCAAAGGAGCGCACTGGACATAAGAGGACGAGAAAAACGACGGGCAACAGAGACGTAAGGCGAAAAAAAACAAAATAAAAAATCCTAACACAGCTTAGAACATCGCGGTTCGAAGGAGCGCACTGGACACTAGACGATGGGTCAACGAAGGAAGATTAAAATCGGCTACGATAGGCATATATTCTCCTTCGATTGTCTGTGAACGGTGGCAGAGAATCACGATTCACGGAAGGAGGAGGAGTAGCTCAAGGCATTATTCCCGAAAGAACGGCTGACGGCATAAAAGACACTTGCGTGGTGGAAAGGTCAAACATGCGAATCGACGCGCGCGCGTGCTGGAAATGCTGAAGCCGCGAAACGACGCGAAATTAAAAAGAGGCGCCAATGAAACAAATAACAAACGCAGAAACGAGAACAGACCACATAACGGGTCGATTTCGACAACTCGGCTAATACAGGACATGACGGCGAAAGGGTGAAGAAAGCAGAGAGACGGAAGCATGAGGAACGAAATACGAACAATGAAAAAGGGAGATGGCAAGCTACCGTTCTGCAAGGCGATATTGGCTTGTTGCGTGTCGACGGTGTACAGCACACCCTCGTATCGGATCTCGCTCTTAGAGGTCAGACTGATTAAACACCCGATGTACGAATCAGCTCCCCCTCCTCCGCCTCCGCCTCCTCCTCCCGCGGGAGCCGTTGCCGCGCCTCCGCTTGCGCTCCCCGCGCCCGCGGGAGCTCCTCCGCCTCCTCCGCCTCCCCCTCCGCCTGCGCCAGGCGGTGCTGCAGCCGCGGCGCCAGCGCCGGCTGCGCCTTCCTCTCCGCCCATGCTAACTACCTAAGCGACTATCCAGAGTTGCGATAATAAAGTGAAACGAAAATTAATAGATCGCAACTGCTGCAACACTCTAGTACTGAAGTTCCCCTGACCTAGAGCACGAAACCCGCAGAAAACCAGATCCTGATCTGAGCCAAACGCGAAAACAAAAAAACTAGAGACTAGTCCGCCCAAAGCCTAGACGAGGCAGAGACCACAGGAGCTGAAGGAAAACACGACGCTGAGCTACCTAAATTAGGTCATCCATGGCTGATTTGCCAGGGAGACGAGACCAAGCAAGCAGCAACAAGAAATACCTAATTTAGGAAGCTAGGAAAGGAAGATGGAGAAAAAGAAATGGAGGAAGAAAGGTTATACCTCCTCGCAGCTCCAATAGATAAGGCGTGCGACGTTACCACTCGGTTTCGCCAACTCATTGCCAATCTCAATCGCGGTACACGAGCAATTTCGTAAGCACTACATGCACCTCTCAATGTATGCTACATAAATAGGATGAAGCACTACATGTACCTCTCAATGTATGCTACATAAATAGGATGAAGATGTGATGAATCTCTCTCCCTATATTGCAATGAACATGAATCCAAATAGACCATTTGAGCATGCCATCATATGAGGCTAAAGGCACTACACAACATGCCACGAATTAACAACTTGGTACTTGTTCGTCAACAACATGCTCTCTACTTCGTCACATCACAACTATTTTCGATAGATTACAAGCCATCCGTGTTCAAAGTGAGTGCTTTGGGGTCAATAAGGTACCGAATCGACCAATCAAATGGCGTCACCTCGACACATTGTGCTAACGTGGGATAGGATTGAAATGCAATTCGTTTTGCTAGTGCCAACCGTGGCGCAGGGGAGAGCTGGTGTAACACCCACTCAAGCAATGATGGAAAGGAATCAGCAAAATCCGGGCAGTACCTGTGGGGGAGAATTAGAGGCAGGGCGAAAAAAGAAAAGAAAAGAAAAGAAAAGGGTGAAGCTGGGAAGGAGTGCAGCAATCACACACAGTATGGCAGTCACAAGGAAATACTTTCAGCAAATGCTTGGCTGCGCGCTTGAGAAGAGGAACACACAAATGCCTGCATCACAGACACTCCGTTCGTTTACTTTCTTTCTTACGATTTTTTTTTTTTTTCCATTCTTTTTCTCTGCTTTATTATCTTTGATTGTGACGCACCAGTCGAGGATTTTGGGGAGAACAATGCGGTTGTCCCGACTGAGCCCAACTGCCAGCTCGAGAAAGCCCTCCCTTGCCTCCTCCAGCTCTGCTCGTACTGTGCGTGGGGAGAAGACACGTAGCTGGCAGGGGGGGGGGGGGGGGGGGGGGGGGGGGAAGAGGAGTGGAAGGGGAAGGGAGAGAGCATGGCAAGGCGAGTTAACAAGAGGCCTCAATCAAAAGCCCTTCCGTAGCACTGACTGACACACTGCACTGACGGGTGCTCGAGCAGAAAGCGAAGGAGAATGTCTATATTGAAGGGATAAAAGAGCAAAAGGAGAGGACAACAACAAAGAGGTGCAGCAGGACTCACGAGGGGAGCAGAGAAGGTGCCAGTGCAGAGAGCGAAGGAGACGCTGGGATGGGGCGACTGCGGAGCCCAGGTGGAGCGATGGTCGGTGGGAGGGAAGGGGCGGACCTTAAGTGCTGTGGCCTGATGGGGTGGCGGGGTGGAGAGAGGGTAGGGGGTATGCAGGGAAGAAATTGCAGAAAGGGAAGCAAGGGATTTGTTGGGGTGACTTTTGAGGCGCCTCAAATGCAGGGAAGAAATTGCAGAGAGGGAAGCAAGGGATTCGTTGGGGTGGGGCGACTGCAGGGTCCAGGAGGAGCGGTGGTCGGTGGGAGGGAAGGGGCGGACCTTGAGTGCCGTGGCCTGATGGGGTGACGGGAGGGGAGAGAGAGGGAGAAAGGGGGAAGAGAGAACATGGAGGAAAGGGAATGCAGAGAGCAAAGGAGCCGCTGGGGTGGGGCGACTGCAGAGCCCAGGTGGAGCGATGGTCGGCTGGAGGGAAGGGGCGGACCTTGAGTGCCGTGGCCTGATGGGGTGGGAAGGGGGAGAGGTGGGGAGAGAGAGTATGGAGGGAAGTGCCTGGGTAGAAAGCAAAGTTGAGGATAGAGTAAGGCAAGGGAAGCCACGTGAAAAGTAGTGTATTTTTGAGACGACTGAAAAATACACTCTTTTTTTTCTTCTTCTTGGAAGTGCCTGGGTAGAGAGAGCAAAGGAGAGGAAAGAGTAAGGGAAGGGAAGTGTAGTACAGAGAGGAGCGGTGGCAGAGAGGGAAAACGTAGATTTCGACAGCGCTTTGATGAGCGTTACTAGGGAACAAGGAGGGAAACGGGGAATTGCAGGGAGGCAGTAGCAGAGAGGGGGGGAAGAGGGCAGGAGGAGGCTGCCCAGAGGATGGGAATGAAAAGGGCAGAGAGCAACTGTACCAGAGAGGAGCGGAAAGATTGCGCTCGGAGGATGGAGAACTCGATTTCATATGCGTTGATTGCTGTGCCCCTAATGGTGTATGTGGCCTGGAGTGAGTTCGGATTGCGGAGAAAATGACACGAGGAGAGAGAGAGAAAGAGAGAGAGGAGAGGGTGAAAGGGTGTGAGGAGTGGTTGTGAGTGGTTGTGAGTGGCAAGTGAAACCAATATCATTCTCAGGATGTGAGTGCAGCGTTTAAGAATCCAACCAGGAGTAACGCTTGGTGGAAATGGTGATACTGAGTGAGAACTGTGGCACTTAATTAGTAGGAAAGGTGGCAAACCTGATTTAGCAATGCAATGCGCTTGGGGGCATGCGTTGTGGGGTACCCATCCACCAGGAACGTCTGAAAGGGGAGAAGGGTGTGAGGGAGGGAGAGAGGGGTTGGCATGGGCAACGGAAGGAAGGGGACCAAGCCAAGGGACACGGTGGCAGGCTTGACTGAGCAGTGCAATGCGCTTGGCATGTGTTGTGGGGTACCCATCCACCAGAAATGTCTGAAACGGGAGAAGGGGGGGAGAAGGGAGAGGGAGAGAGAGAGGATGGACGTGGGCAGTGGAAGGAGGGGGGCAGAAGGACATGGTAGGTGGCTGAATAGACGGTGCAATGCGCTTGGCATGTGTTGCGGGCGGGGTACCTATCCACCAGGAATGTCTGACATGAGAAGGGCGGGGTTGGATTGGAAGGAGAAGGGGGTTATGAGAGAGAGAGAGAAAGGGGTTGAGGAACGTGGGCAGTGGAAGGAAGTGGGGGAGGTGGAAGGTAGAAAGGTGTTGCATGCTGTAACCATTCGCAACTAGCTCATGGGTAGCCTCACTTGCAGCAGCAGCCGACTCACGTGCAGCAGCAGAGCATTGTGCAGGTTGATCCAAAAGGCCAATCGCTCGTCCTCTGAGCGCCCTCTTTCCACTGCATTACACCTCGCCACATGCAAGCACCACCTCGCTAACATGCATGAAGGTTGAACGCTAGGCTTACGTGCAGCAGCAGCGCGTTGTGCAGGTTGATCCAAAAGGCCAATCGCTCGTCCTCTGATAGCAGTGCCGGGCTCACATCGTCCAGCTGCTCCGCTAGCATTCTGAGAGTAGGGAGGGCAGGGCAGGGAGACCAGGAACAAGGAGGGTTCAACATGAGATTGCATGTCAGTGCCAGTGGCACCTCGACAGCAGTGCCGGGCTCACATCGTCCAGCTGCTCCGCTAGCATTCTGATGGAAAGGAGAGGCGGGAACGGGGAAATGGAGCAGGGAGAGGGAGTCCAAGAGAGGCATTTGAATGTCAGTCTGTGTGGCAGCATGACAGCAGTGCCAGGCTCACATCGTCCAGCTGCTCTGCTAGCATTATGTTGTGGAGAAAGGAGGTAGAGGAAGGAGAGAAGTGAAAGTAGGCAGAGGGGGGTCCAAGAGAGGCATGTGAGTGTCAGTGGCACCTCGACTGCAGTGCCGGGCTCACATCGTCCAGCTGCTCCGCTAGCAGCTGAGGAGGGCTTCTGCTCTGCTAGCAGCATTATGTTGTGGAGAAAGGAGGTAGAGGAAGGAGAGAAGTGAAAGTAGGCAGAGGGGGGTCCAAGAGAGGCATGTGAGTGTCAGTGGCACCTCGACTGCAGTGCCGGGCTCACATCGTCCAGCTGCTCCGCTAGCAGCTGAGAAGGGCCTCTGCTCCGCTAGCATACTGGTGAAGGATTCAGGCAAAGGCACAGGAGAGAGCATAGAAAGCAGGGGGAGGGAGAGGGTTCAACGACAGACAGCAGGGCCGGACGGCATGTGAATGCTGGCGGAGCAGCTGTCGGTGGTTGGTACCATGACTGACAGCTGCTCCTCCGCCAGCATTCTGATGCGGGAGAGAGCATAAACAGCATTCTGTACGAACCCACACAGCCCACTCAGGCACTCACCGGTAGCGGCAGAGGAGAAACACGTCGGCACTGGTGAATGATTCGGCGGAGGCACAGTAGTGACCTCCATGGCGCTGCTGTATACCCCCACCACTGGCAGACTCGGGTGGCCCTGCAATACCCCGTATGGATCCACAAAACCCTCCGGCCTCTTCTGGTTAGACTCAAAACCCCCCCCGGTGCTCTATTCCCCGCAAGCCCTGTAGCGGCACTCACCTGTATCTGCAGAGCAAGAACACATCGGCGCTGCTGAAGGACTCGGGAGGAGGCACAGAAGTGACCTCCATGGCGCTGCTGTACGCCCCCACCACCGGCAGGCAGGGATGCCCCTCCAACACCCCGTACGGATCCAAAAACCCCTCCGGCCTCTTCTGAATATCCTCAAAAGCCTCAAAAGCCCCCTCCGCTGGTCTATTCCCTGCTAGCCCTGCTTCTGGAATGGTTGCCGCTGCTACAGCTGCTGCTCCTGCCACACCTGTGTCTGCTACAGCAGCGCCAGAAGTAGTGGCAGATAAACCCGCCTCAGATGCACCTGGTTCTTCCATCCCCTCCCACCCTCGCTCGTCCGCTGCCCCTGCCCCCCCCTGCTTGCCTCCGGGAAACGCCGACCGCAGCCACTGGGGCGCTTTGGCTGTAGCAGACTTGGCTGTAGCAGATGCTAGAGCTAGGCCCCTCCGGGACTTAGAACCCGCGTCTGATGCGAAGAGGGAATGCTTCTTGGAGAGAGAGGGAGTGAGGGAGGGAGTGAGAGGAGGGAACGAGGGATTGAGAGGAGGGAAGGAGGGGGTGACGGGAGGAAGTGCGGCTGTGCTGCTGAATTCTGGATGGTCTGTTTCTGTGAGGGTTGAGAGTGATTGTAGGGGGCTTAGAGTATCAATGTCGGCACCGTTATAATCACCTTCACTACCTCCCTCTCCTCTCTCCCGTCCCTCTGCTCCCGCCTTCGCCTTACTCGGCCCTCCTTTCCCACTTGCCGCCTCCTCCTCCCCTCCCACCCGCTCCTGCTCCGACACACCACGGGCCTCGTTTGACGTGGCACGGGCCGAATCTGACGTGGCACGGGCCTCCTCTGACGCGAGCAGCAAAACAGCAGCACGTCTCTGCCCCTCTCCCAACCCCCACACGGCCGGGTGGGCATGGTGAAGGTATATAGTGGCAATGGATTTCAGCATCTCCTCAGACAGCGCACACGGGCGGGAGCGGTAGTCGTCTAGCTCGAGAGAGAGGCGGGCCGAATCTGTGGTGGGGAGAGAGGAGAGGCGAGAAGAGGAGGAGGTGTTTTGATGGTCTTTTGGAGGTGGTTTATGGACTTGGCGAGGGATTTCCGGAAGGATTTGCGAGAGGAGGACTCTGCTGCGTGGGAGGAGGCAGAGGAGGAGGATGGGGCAGTGGATGGAGGTGCAGGAGCAGTGGCCGTGTAGGCACTCGCACTGCCGCTGCTGGTGTTGATGGTGCTGCTGGTGGATACCTTTTCGCCGGTTCTGGTAACCAGTTCCGTTGCAGGGGCTTCAGCAGTGGAGACGCGCGGTATGCGTGGCCTTGGCTCAGGTGACGTCTCAGGTGATACTTCAGGTTCTATCTCAGGTGAAACCCCAAACCCAGGCATAACAGGCTCATGCACACCAGGTGCAGATTGAAGGGGTACAGGTGTGGTTGAAAGGGGTGCAGATGCGCCTTCGTCCTTTTCCTCACCTGCCCGATCTGCCCCTTCATCTGCCCGTAAACAGGTTGTTCCCATGGCAATGGGGGCTATCAGTCCCGAACCAGATCCCACATCGAACTCCGAAGTTAAGCCACCCACCTTCGCCTTTACCGAGCCTACGCTCTGCGTCCTCCTTGGGCTTAGCAGCGCAGGCCCGGAAACAGGCTTGGCAGCAGGTCCGGAAAGGCTCGGCAAATCCACGCCTGACGACGAACGCAAGCCTGCCACGTCAGCAGACCTCCACTGCTCCGGCGAGTCGATCTTCACAAACACATTGCCGCTGTTGGCAGGTTCAGCTGCTGCCGAGGCTGCTCCCAAACCTGCCGCCAAACCAAGCGGAGGCTTCGGGTGTTGCTGAGAGCGTGACGGAGCCGAACCTGCTGCAGCACCCGCTGTAATCCCTGTGCTACACACACCATCACTTCCCGGAATCCCACCCCCAGAAGGCCCTCCCACTAAAGATCCTCCAAGCAAGCTGAAATCAAAACCAGACCCGCCACCGCCGCTGCCGCTGCTGCCGCCGCCGCCGCTACTAGCCTTCCCTTCCTTACCGCCTCTTCTGGAAAATCCTCGGCTCTTCTTCTCCTTCCCTTCCTTGCCCTTCTTCCCCAGGTCCTTCTTTCCTTTGCCTGCAAGCTCTGCCTCTGTTGCAGCGATCAGGGATTCAAACATTGCTGATAGATACTGCTGCTGCTGCTGCTGCTGCTGCTGCTGCTGCTGCAGAGTGCTCTCATTAGAAAACTCTTCTTCCTCCATTACCTCTCCACGACCACCCACTTTCCACCCCACCCTGCCCTCACTCTCTCCTTTAACAAAAGCTTCCACATCCACCTCCCCTTCCCCTTCCCCCTCCCCTTTCCCTTCCTCTTTCCCCTCACACGCCATCCCATCTTGAGTCAACCCAAAGTTACCCTCCTCCTGCCCCCGCAAGTGTACACTCCCCTCTTCCCCCTCGTCGCATTCCCCATCCTCCTCCCCAATCCCTTGCTGATCCGCACCTCTTGCCTCTGCCCATCTGTCCTCCCCCTCCCCTACCCTCCCTTCCAGTCCCCCCAGCACCATCTCGGAGAACGATCCAACGGCCAGGAACTTCCGATGGGCTGCGGCAGATTGAGAATCTCCGGCAAGATCTGCTGCATTTTCGTCAGCAGGGCTCGTGATTCCTTCCCCCCCTGTATAATCATCATCTAATACAAGCACATTAGGCTGCTCCACCCTGCAGCTACCTTCCTGCTCCTTGGAGGCTGATCCTGCTCCCGTGTCCCCTCTGCTCTCTCTTCTCGTAGAAAACGGCCCTCTCTGCTCTCCTTCCCTCACTTCCCTCGCTTCTTGATCCTCCACCCTGAAACTCGCCGAACCTCCCTGCCCTCCCCAACCAAAAACATTCTCCGAACCATCGGACATGCCGGACCTAGCTCGGTCAATGAACAAGCTGTCCCGAGCCTCATCGCCAGGTTCGGAATTGTTCTGAACGAATTCAGCGGCAACACTGCCAGGTTCGGAATTGTTCCGAGCGTAGCCAGAGTGTTTGCCTGGAGCATGCCGGACCGCAAACGACAGCATCTTACCCAGAGGGGAGCGAGGGCGGGAGGAGGACGAGGAGGAGGAAGGGGAGAATGAGTGAGAAGTAGTAGGGCTGTACGAATGGTGTCTCTCGGGGGTTTTCGCCCGGCGGAAGGAGAGAGAGGGGCGCATGCGCTCAGGGCTCTTGTTGCTTGCAAGCAGCATGGAGGGAACGAGGGAGGTCGGAGCAAGGGTGATACCCTGAGCCGGGTCAGAAGAAACCATTGACCCGTCATGGTACTTTGACTCCCCTGGCTGATCAAAGCCCTCAAAGCCCTTTGATCCTTCTCGAAGAGAACGTGATCTGAGCGCAGCAGCAGTGGCAGCAGCAGCATCGCCACCGCCACCACTCCTTTGCCTTGGAGTAACCCCCTCGGGCCCCTCTTTCCAATTCACCTCACGTCCGTGCGCTCGCACATGCCCTTGCCCATGCCCCTGTGCATACCCATGGTCGGCAATAGGAGGAGTGTGAGTGTAAGCAGCAGGAAAGGCAGTGCGGTGGATGGCAGAGGTGCTGCGGTTGAACCGAGTGAACACTGATGGAGAGCAAGCGCCATGTGCCATGCTCTCCATCTCTTCCTCCTCCTCCTCTTCCTCTTCCTCACCTTCTCCCCGCTCCTCCTCCCCTTGCTCACCCTCGTCCCCCTCCTCCCCCTCCTCTCCCTCCTCCCCCTCCTCTCCCTCCTCCTCCTTGTTTTGGTCCTCTCCTTTCTCTCCTTGTGAAACGGAATCGTCTCCCCCTCGCCTTCCCGCCCTTCTCTCCTGCCTTCCTTCCCCTCCCGCCTGCCCCTTCACTCCCTCCCCCCCTTCCCCTCCCTCCCTTCCCTTTCCCCCTACCGCTCCAAGCCTCAAATTGGCTCCTGTAAGCCCTGGAGGCACCACAAGGGAACATCCGGAGTCCTTAGCTGTATGGGCTTGCACAAGAGGCTCACTTCCACTCGCACTTATGGAAACCTCAGCAAGCTCAGCAGAGGCGAAGCGAGGCGGGTCGGAAAGGCCTGGCACAGGAAAGTCCAGGTTATTGAGGTCCTGTCTGTTGTCGGAGGCACGGCGAGCCAAGGAACGCTTGAGGGTCGGCTGAGTGGCAGCCCTGACAGGTTGAGGCGGTAGGGAGTCATCCTCTTCCTCCGCCAACTCCCCCTCTCTTCCCTCTCTTCCCTCTCTTCCCTCTCTTCCCTCTCTTCCCTCTCTTCCCTCTCCTCCTCTCATCCCCCCTTCCTTGTCCTCCTCTGCCTCCCCTCTGCCAGGGTAGCTCGGAACCTTCTTCCTGCTGTGGGTGCTGCTGCTGTTGCTGCCATCTCGGTCCGGCTGCAAGGGTACATCCGAAACACGCCGCCCACGCACCATCCTAACCCCAGCCTTCCCCACTGCGCCATCAGCCAAGCTCCGAAGATCCGCTTCAGTGGACGATAAATACCGGCCCAGGTTTCGAAACGGGGACATGCCACGGCTCAGAGGCTTTGCGTTGGTAACCAGGCTACCAGCACCTGGGTGACCACAGCTGGTACCAGCACCACCAGCAGCACCACCACCACCTGCGCCACCAGCACCAGCACTAACACTATACCCAATACCGCTCACAGCAGCAGCATCACCACCACTGCCAGTCCTAAGATGTGCTCCCAGTTTCCCACCCCAAGCTGAACCCCCTCCCTCTCCCCCTCTTGGCGACACCACCCCCCCACCAGGCAGATGTCCATGTCCATGCATCTCCTCCCCATCTCCCGCCTCCTCTCCCCCTCCGCCCCCCCCTGCGCCCCCTGCGCCCGCAGCTCCCCCCTCTCCTCCCCACGGCCCCACTCCTGCCCCGCTCACCTTTTTCTTGAGCTTCTGAAGCACTTTCAGACGGGACTTACTTCCACTTGCGCCTATTCCCTTGCCTCCTCCCGCCACTGTATGAACCTCACTCCCCTCTTCTAGCCCCATTCGCCCCTGCCAGTCCACATTCCCCATGCTCTCCCCTCCCCCTCTCCCTCCCCCTCCACCTCCCCCTCCTTCGGCCTCTAGCCTCTTCCCAATCTCCTCCCACGACCCACTCCCCCCTCTCCTCCGCCTCCCTCCCTCTCTCGCCCCCTTCAAATCAGTCACATCCTTTAGAAGGTCCTTCAGCCGATGCACCTGGGTGCTCGAGCTAAGAGTGGAATAGCTATGCCCAAGAATAGACGGCCGAGAAGCAGCAGAACCACCAGAGGAGGCAACGGAAGCTGAGTGGAAATCACCACCCCCTCCTCCTCCTCCTCTCCCTACCCCTCCCATTCCCCCTCCGCCTGCGCTCCCAGCAGCAGCTGAAGCAGCGGCAAAGGCAGCAAAAGCAGCAGCAGAGGCGGCGCCGATGGCAGCAGTAGCAGCTGGGAGGACAGGGGGGCTGGTGCTGAGCGTGTGGATGAGGTCCTTGATGAGGGAGGCGAATTCGGGGGAGGTGGTATCTACTGCAGGGTCACTCAAAATCTGGTCCAGAAACTCCTCTACCTGCGGGGCAGGGGGGAACGGAGGAAGGGGAAGACGGAGGAAGGGGAAACCGGAGGAAGGGGAATCGAGAGGGAGAGAGCGTTACTGTGCTGTGCATCTCTGTATTTGGATCGGTTGAAAAAAGGATAAGACCGGCAGCAGCAGAGGTGGCGCCGACGGCAGCAGTGGCAGCTGGGAGGACAGGCGGGTTGGTGCTGAGCGTGTGGATGAGGTCCTTGATGAGGGAGGCGAACCCGGGGGAGGTGGTATCTACCGCAGGGTCACTCAGAATCTGGTCCAGAAACTCCTCTACCTGCGGGGAGGGGGGAAACGGAGGAAGGAGGAAAGGAGAGGGAGAGAGCGTTAGTGTTGACTTTTGAGTCGACTCAAAAGTCGACTGCTGTATGCATCTCTGTATTTGGATCGGTTGAAAAAAGGATAAGACCGGCAGCAGCAGAGGCGGCGCCAATGGCAGCAGTGGCAGCAGGGAGGACAGGGGGGCTGGTGTTGAGCGTGTGGATGAGGTCCTTGATGAGGGAGGCGAATCCGGGGGAGGTGGTATCTACTGCAGGGTCACTCAGAATCTGGTCCAGAAACTCCTCTACCTGGAGGGAAGAGAAGGGAAGGAGGAAAACGAGAAGCGAGAATGAAAGAGTGTTGCGGTTTGTGAAATGATTTGGGATTGACTGATATTAAAGGCAGCGGCGGGGGGGGGGAGCAGCCGAGGCCGAGGGAGGCGGTACCCAGTGCAGGGTCGCTAAGAATCCGGTTCAGAAACTTCGCCACATAGAGTTAAGGGGGAGAGAGGGAAGAAGGGCGAGCAATTCGAGAAGGATAGCGTGTATGTGCGATAGGCGAAGGCGCCCGTTACCATTGAGCTGTGAGAGATGTCTCAAACAGTCCTTCTTATTAAAGCCTCCCTCTCTTACGCAGCTCCTTGATCACCACCTCCCCTGTTCTGCTGTCAACTACGCCCTGTCAGCATGCGCAGCTTCTGAGGGGCCCAGCTAATGATTGAGAGGTGGCTCGAAAACCTCAAAGAGACGCACCTTTTCCCAGGCACGCACCTTCTCGTTCTCCTTCTTCTCGTTCTGAATCAGCTCCTTGAGAACCTCCCTCTGTGCTGTCAGCTGCAGCCTGTGCGCTCACATAATGGATCAGTCCAGAACGAAAGAGAGACACGAAAGCAGACGAAAGGCATGGCTTGAGTCGAATCAACACACTGCTGCAGCCTGGGTGCTCAGATTCTTGGCAGGTACACAGGAAAGAGAGCCCTGAGCACATGAACGGGCTCGACTTTTGAGAATTCTCAAAAGTCGCATCAACACACTGCTGCAGCCTGGGTGCTCAGATTCTTGGCAGGTACACAGGAAAGAGAGACCTGAGCACATGAACGGGCTCGACTTTTGAGAATTCTCAAAAGTCGCATCAACACACTGCTGCAGCCTGGGTGCTCAGATTCTTGGCAGGTACACAGGAAAGAGAGACCTGAGCACATGAACGGGCTCGACTTTTGAGAATTCTCAAAAGTCGCATCAACACACTGCTGCAGCCTGGGTGCTCAGATTCTTGGCAGGTACACAGGAAAGAGAGACCTGAGCACATGAACGGGCTCGCTCACAGCGTGTGGTCACAGTACGACCACACACCTGGTGCTCACGGTATGATCAATGCGTGTGGTCTGCGTGTCATGCCATGTGAATGGCCACCCACCCACCCACCCACCCACCTCCAGACTCAACCCCATGAACCATCCACAATGCAAGCTCACAGTTGCATTTGCGCAGTATGAGCGGCACGGACAGCACTGGGGAACCCCATGGCCACTCCAGCGCACCTGCTCCAGCGCACCTGCTCCAGCGCACCTGCTCCAGCGCCCAATCCAGGTTGTCCTCCCTCCCTCCCATCCCACCACCTCTACCTCCCCTCTCGTATTCTCCCTCCTTCCAGACACACAGCTGCGTCTGCGCAGTGTGCACAGCGCACGCACACAGCACCGGGCAGCCCACCGCCCAGTGCACCTGCTCCTGCGCCTGCTCCAAGTTGACCCTCCCTACCGTCAGCTCCAGCAGCAGCTGCTGATGCATCTGACCCACCCCTTTCCAACCCACCCACGCCTACACACCCACCCACGCCTACACACCCACCCAGCCACATCCAGGGCAAACTCACAGCTGCATCTGTGCTGTTTGCACGGCGCGAACAGCACCGGGCGACCCAACGGCCCAGTGCACCTGCTCCAATGCTCTCTCCAGGTTGACCCTCTCTACCGTCAGCTCCAGCAGCAGCGGCACCCCAGCCACATCCAAGGCAAACTTACAGTTGCATTTGTGCAGTGTGCACTGCCCGCACAGCACCGGGCGACCCAACCGCCCAGTGCACCTGCTCCAATGCTCTCTCCAGGTTGACCCTCTCTACTGTCAGCTCCAGCAGCAGCTTGCGTGTCTGTGCCACCTCGTCCCCCCAGTGGTGCACGTCTCTATGCAGCTGCCTCTCAGCCCGGTCCTGCTCCTCCTGTTCACATGCATGATGGTTGGGTTGGGTTGGGTTGGGTTGGGTTGGGAAGCGATGGAAAGGTTGACCCTCTCTACGGTCAGCTCCAGCAGCAGCTTGCGTGTTTGTGCCACCTCGTCCCCCCAATGATGGACTTCCCTACGCAGCTGCCTCTCTGCCCGGTCCTGCTCTTCCTGTTGGCACAAGTGTCGAGGAGGGAATGGGGGAAATGAAAAGGGTGACTCTAGAACAAGCCTCCAGCAGCAGCGTGCGTGTGTGCGCCGCCTCGTCCCCACAGTGATGCACTTCTCCTTGCAGCTGCCTTTCAGTGCAATCCGGCTCCTCCTGTAGTTCTAAGTGTAAGGATGGATGGGGGATGGGGAATGGGCGCTTCTCCTGCCACGGTTCTCACCTGTCCCTGTTATCACCTGTCTCACTTCTCACCTGTCCCACCTGTCCCAGTTCTTACCTGCCTCGTTCCTCGCCGGCCCTGGTTTGGGGTTCTCACCTGCCCCTGTTCTCACCTGCACGGGCAGGGTGGGCATGTCAGCCCCTGCCACGGCAATGAGCTCCACCAGTTTCTCCTGCCTCGCCAACTCCCTCTCTACCTCCTCCTCCAGCCGCAGCACCTGTTCGGGGGACACACAGAGGGACCATAAGACGTCAAGTTGTTGTTTTAGCAGGCATAAGGCCTGCAAGGTGGGCAGATAAACAACACCAATCAGCTCTTTACGGGTTTCGAGATGCCCCAAAAAGTTCCTTACCCCTGTGTCCATCATAGATACGTTGCTCCGTGTCCGCCTCCGCCCCTCTCCACCACGCTCCACCCCTCGCTCACCCTCTCTACCGCTGTACCTTTTCGCTTCTAGCCTCTGAAGCGACGCTGACCGCCCCTCCCCTGCCACTGCCCTCCCTTGCCCAATGGCCGCTCTGCTTTCAGCCTCCTGACCAGTCAACGCGGTCAACGTGGTCAACCCACCGCCAGAGCCATTGGCACTCGCAGCAGCAGCATTGGGGTCTCCAATTCTCTCTGCTGCTTCTTTCACGGCTCTCTCCATCTCTGCTGCTGCTTTTGCAGAAGCCACGGCTGCTGCCAGCCGTCCATCTGAAGGCATAGCCGCCACCAGCCGTCCATCTCTTATCACACCTCCAGCTCCAGCAGAAGCTAGGGAATCTACAGCAGAGGTGGCGCCTAGGCCTCCCTGTAACAATTCGCTTGCTGCTCCCTTTGCAGCTGATCTCTCTGCTTCTGCTGCCTCCGCTGCTGCTGCTGCTGCTGCTGCTGCTTTTGCAGCCGCCACAGCTGCCGCCAACCGTCCATCGCGAGCCACACCTATTGCTTCCGCAGAGGCAGTGAAATCCGCAGCAGCGGTGGCGGCTGTGAGGACCTGTGCTATCGGTTCGCTTGCTATTGCTGCTCTCGCTTCCTCTACCGGCGCTGTCCTCTCTGCCGCCGCTGCTCTCTCTGCCGCTGCTTCCTTCTCAGCTGCTGCAGCCTTAGCCGCAGCCACAGCTGCCGCTAGCCTCCCGTCTCTGATCATACCCAAATCTCGAACAGAAGAGTGCCGAGTCGAATTCAGATAATAGCACGTCAATTTATCATAATAGCTACTCCGCGGTCACAACTTATGAAAAAACCCTTACTTCACTCTCCAATTGTACCCTTTCCTTAGTCATGAATCAGTCCACTCTCTAATCGCATTCCTGGTTTCTCTTTGGTTCGCCATTTGCTCCTCGATCTCTGATCATAGCTGCTTAAAACTACCTCCTTTCTTACTATTTCCACTCCTAACCATTCGCAGCACTAAATGCCGTCGTATAAGGAGCAGATAGCATCAGCGAAGGCAGAATACTTTCGGCTGGCAGGAGTGATGTGCTTAGGTAAGCGCCTTAACGAATCTCTGAGGAAGAATGGGAAGTGTGGGAATGAAACGTTGGAATAATCTGGATGTCCTTGTTGCTGCATTTTCGAGAACTACGAAAGGCACGAATTGAGACCTGATTCACGCACTGAACAATGCTTACCGTTATCAATAGACTTGCCATTGAAGAGTTAAATACAAATGTGATACATCTTGATGAACTACTATGCGCCGTCAAGAAACGCCAATTCATGAAAGAAAAAATGTAACTACTAACCTTCCATTGTCGCCAATGCTGATGTTTCGTTGAACGCATCGCGGAAGATTCTCTAGTGCCTCAGCGCCTCGACCCCCGACCAGGATATCAAGTCGCCGCACTTCAACAACTAGCGTCCGTACCTACTTTCGGTTCTCTACTACCCAGCCTAGAGAACAGAACACAGAGCTGATTCTAATATGAACTCTCGGGAATTCCATTTCCATTCCACCTTGTATCTGTCAAATTGACCCAGCACCTTCGCCTCATGTTTTTGTAAAAATCACTGCGAGCATCCCAAGGTCAGGTTTGGAGGTGAGGGTGGATAGATAAGTGTGAACAAGTGTATTCCGGCACCGAAGTGTTTAAGCTTTGGAGCGTATATGAAGCCTCTGAACCGTTTGAAAAAGCTTGGTGATATGCCATGTCATTCGGGTGAACCAACCAGCAGCAAGCAGCTCTGACAGATTGATGGCCGTACAGTGCACGCATACTGTACTTGAAGCACACGAGCGCAGCGGGAAGCGGAATTTGGCGCGGGGAACACTACTTTCCCGCGAGCGGCCCCGGTTTCCGCTCCGCCTGGGTGAATTCGGGGGAGATGCGATTCCGACGCGCGTCACACAGTGCGGAGTTGGTTGGTGGTGCTATCCATGAGGACACGGTAAAAGTGAAAGATCGATCGCCTCAGAGTCGTTTTCTAATGCGGTTCTAACAGGTTCTGTAATTCTTGGATGCGAAAGTATGCGAAACGCGGGAGTGTAGTGCGGTGGCGGATAGGTATTTACTGCGTCCTCAGTTCTATCTCGTACGTTCATCCCACTGCTTGCACAACACAAACGTGTAGGTTTCAGAAAAAGAGCAAGGTTCAACCAGTATGTGGCGCAGCCATCAGAAAAAGAACAAGGTTCAACCCTTTCTTTCATTGAAGGACTCTCAATCTAACTCTCTATTACCTGGAAAAAAATTAATGCCCATTTTTGTGGGGGTGCCGCACTGCACCATGCCAATCAAGCACCCTATTGAAAGGGGATAGTGGATGGCCATAGCTGCTTCGTTGTCAGCACTAGCAGCCAAAAGAATGCGCCACCTCAGAACTGAGGCGTCCTATGCAGAAGAACGAAACAGTGGAAACGGTCCCACTCCAGATTATATTACCCGGCCAAGATAAACACCTCCCGCATATCCCAAAACCGATTCTTCCCGTGTCAGTAAACCCTGAACCCTGGAGGCTCCACAGCATATTGCCCACTTCCACCCATCATCCCACCCCGCATCCCACCTCCACCAGCACCGCCGCCACCTCCACCCCGAGCGTCTCCCCCCATCCCTCGGCCACTGTCACCATAGTCCTCGTAGTACCTGCCGCTTCCAGCAGCAGCAGCGGCGGCACCGTTGGGGGTATGAGTGTGGGCGGCTGGGTATGTGCCTCTTCTGTGTTTGGGTATAGAGGGGTGAGTAAGAGAAGGAAGTAAAAGGTGAATTGGGAGAGGAGGGAGGCAGCAGATGCAATGCATGCAACACGCAAGCAGCAATGTTGGGGGTATGAGTGTGGGTGGCTGGGTAAGTGCATCTTCTGTGCAGGGTATGAGGGTGGGAAAGGGGTGGCGGGTGAATGGCAACCGGGAGGAGGAGCAATGAGGGTGAGGGGTGAACGTGAATGGATAGAATGGGTGAGGGGTGAACGTGAATGGATAGAATGGGTGAGGGGTGAACGTGAATGGATAGAATGGGTGAGGGGTGAACGTGAATGGATAGAATGGGTGAGGGGTGAACGTGAACGGATAGAATGGGTGAGGGGTGAGGGGTGAACGTGAACGGATAGAATGGGTGAGGGGTGAGGGGTGAACGTGAACGGATAGAATGGGTGAGGGGTGAGGGGTGAACGTGAACGGATAGAATGGGTGAGGGGTGAGGGGTGAACGTGAACGGATAGAATGGGTGAGGGGTGAGGGGTGAACGTGAACGGATAGAATGGGTGAGGGGTGAGGGGTGAACGTGAACGGATAGAATGGGTGAGGGGTGAGGGGTGAACGTGAACGGATAGAATGGGTGAGGGGTGAGGGGTGAACGTGAACGGATAGAATGGGTGAGGGGTGAGGGGTGAACGTGAACGGATAGAATGGGTGAGGGGTGAGGGGTGAACGTGAACGGATAGAATGGGTGAGGGGTGAGGGGTGAACGTGAACGGATAGAATGGGTGAGGGGTGAGGGGTGAACGTGAACGGATAGAATGGGTGAGGGGTGAGGGGTGAACGTGAATGGATAGAATGGGTGAGGGGTGAGGGGTGAACGTGAATGGATAGAATGGGTGAGGGGTGAGGGGTGAACGTGAATGGATAGAATGGGTGAGGGGTGAGGGGTGAACGTGAATGGATAGAATGGGTGAGGGGTGAGGGGTGAACGTGAATGGATAGAATGGGTGAGGGGTGAGGGGTGAACGTGAATGGATAGAATGGGTGAGGGGTGAGGGGTGAACGTGAATGGATAGAATGGGTGAGGGGTGAGGGGTGAACGTGAATGGATAGAATGGGTGAGGGGTGAGGGGTGAACGTGAATGGATAGAATGGGTGAGGGGTGAGGGGTGAACGTGAATGGATAGAATGGGTGAGGGGTGAGGGGTGAACGTGAATGGATAGAATGGGTGAGGGGTGAGGGGTGAACGTGAATGGATAGAATGGGTGAGGGGTGAACGTGAATGGATAGAATGGGTGAGGGGTGAGGGGTGAACGTGAATGGATAGAATGGGTGAGGGGTGAGGGGTGAACGTGAATGGATAGAATGGGTGAGGGGTGAGGGGTGAACGTGAATGGATAGAATGGGTGAGGGGTGAGGGGTGAACGTGAACGGATAGAATGGGTGAGGGGTGAGGGGTGAACGTGAATGGATAGAATGGGTGAGGGGTGAGGGGTGAACGTGAATGGATAGAATGGGTGAGGGGTGAGGGGTGAACGTGAATGGATAGAATGGGTGAGGGGTGAGGGGTGAACGTGAATGGATAGAATGGGTGAGGGGTGAGGGGTGAACGTGAATGGATAGAATGGGTGAGGGGTGAGGGGTGAACGTGAATGGATAGAATGGGTGAGGGGTGAGGGGTGAACGTGAATGGATAGAATGGGTGAGGGGTGAGGGGTGAACGTGAATGGATAGAATGGGTGAGGGGTGAGGGGTGAACGTGAATGGATAGAATGGGTGAGGGGTGAGGGGTGAACGTGAATGGATAGAATGGGTGAGGGGTGAGGGGTGAACGTGAATGGATAGAATGGGTGAGGGGTGAGGGGTGAACGTGAACGGATAGAATGGGTGAGGGGTGAGGGGTGAACGTGAATGGATAGAATGGGTGAGGGGTGAGGGTTGAACGTGTTTTGAGACGTCTCAAAACACTTCTTCAAACACGAGTGAGGGGTGAACGTGTTTTGAGACGTCTCAAAACACTTCTTCAAACACGAGTGAGGGGTGAACGTGTTTTGAGACGTCTCAAAACACTTCTTCAAACACGAGTGAGGGGTGAACGTGTTTTGAGACGTCTCAAAACACTTCTTCAAACACGAGTGAGGGGTGAACGTGTTTTGAGACGTCTCAAAACACTTCTTCAAACACGAGTGAGGGGTGAACGTGTTTTGAGACGTCTCAAAACACTTCTTCAAACACGAGTGAGGGGTGAACGTGTTTTGAGACGTCTCAAAACACTTCTTCAAACACGAGTGAGGGGTGAACGTGAATGGATAGAATGGGAAAACACATATGCCACACACATAATAAAACGCATGCGACGTGCATAACGCACATGCCACTCACAGAACGCACATGCCACTCACAGAACGCACATGCCACTCACACATAACGCACGCTCGTACCTGCCAATATCAGCCAGCTGGTGAGGCGAGGCGGGTGGAGAGGCAGACTCGACCACGGAGCCCGAGCGAGAGAGCACTGGCGATTTGGGGGGTGGAAAGAGACACAAAAACCGGGTGGAAGGGGCGGGGGGGGGGGGAGGGGGGGAGAGGGGGGAACGGGGAAGGAATATCGGAAATAAGGTTGGAGGAAAGTGGAGACTGAGTTGAAGGAGAGGGGTTGAGTGGGGAAGGGGGAGCGGGCAAAAGGGGCAGGTGGAGCGAGAAATGAGTGAAAAGTGGGAATAAGGTGGATCGGGCAGTGAGGGGGAAGGGGAAGTGAGAAGATGCACGAGATCGTCAATAGCTAGACGAGCACATATATAGGGAAAAAAGCATGTGCGCACTGCACATTACGAAGATACACGAGATTGTACTATAGGTGGATCCACGTGAGACGAACACATATAGGAAGAAAACATGTGCGCACTGCACATTGCATCCCTAGGCTTAACGCCTCACCTGCTCCTGCAGAGTTGCTTTGGCTCGCTGAGATTGACTTGTCCTGGACAAGAAGCCACGGAGGAGGGGAACAGGGGGTTGGGAGGGGTGGTGAGGGGTTTGGAGGGGTTGTGAGCGGTTGAACGATGTACGAGTTCAGGGAGGATGGGAAAGAGAGAGTGTGAGTATGGAGAGGGGAAGTTGGTGGGGAGAGTGAGGCAAGAGTTTTGAGACGTCTCAAAACGTGAGGCAAGAGATAGCATGGGTTTTCGAGTCGACTCAAAAACCGACTCATCTCACAGAGATAGCATGGGTTTTCTTAGTAAAAAAAATGCTTGGTGAATGCATGCACAGAGGTGCCAATGGATGCACAGCGGTGCGGATGGATGCACAGCGGTGCCGATGGATGCACAGCGGTGCGGAAGGATGCATGGTGTTCTTACGGATCGACTGGATATAGAGCCGATTGCATTTGATGAGTTGACAGAGGCAGACGCTGAATGGCGGGCCATGCCTGGGATACAGAGAGAGCATGGGATAAAGAGAAAGCATGGGGAGGGAAGGGCATAAGGGCATAGGGAGGGAGTGACATTGGGGGAGTAAGGAGGGAGTGACATGGGGGGAATAAGGAGGGAGACGAGAGAGCACAAGGAGAGTTAGACAAGGCCATGACAGCACATGGCATGGCATGGCATGGATTGGGTTGGATGGGACGGCCCCAGCATGGATGAAGGCGACTCAAGGCGCAAGTACTTGCTTTTGAGGCAGCTGAAACAGGGAGTGCAGAATAGACAGACCATCTAGTCATTGGCTTCCATATCGCTGCAATGAAGCAAGCTTGCTAACCCCTCCCTCCCTCCTCCCTCTCCTGGTTGACTTTTGAGTTGACTCTAAAAGTCAACTCGGGAATGTAGCCCACCTAGTAATTGGCTTCCGTATCGTTGCAATGAAGCAAGCTTGCTACCCCCACCACCTCCCCCACCTCCCCCTCCCCCTCCCCCTCCCCCTCCTCCCCCTCCCTTTGCATCACCAGGCGCGTTATTCCTGCCCACACTCTTTGATCCACCCAGTTTCCGCGAGAAGAACCCTCGCTTTTCTGACTTCCCTCCCCCACCCCCTCCACCTGCTCCTGTTCCGTCTGTCCCTCCGTCTGCATACCCCCCCGTTGCCCCTCCCTCATCTGCCCGCTCCGCATACCCCTGCTCTTGCTGCTGGTACTGCTGCTGCTGTTGCTGCTGCTGCTGCTGCTGGTACTGCTGTTGGGGAGGGTATTGCCCCTGATATTGCTGTTGCCCCTGATACTGCTGCCCTTGATACTGCGGGCCCTGGTAGTGTCCCTGCTGGGACTGCTGAGTAGCCTGAGGGGCTTGTAAAACCCTCACAGCGGATCCTTCTAAGGAAGGGTGAACTGGAGAGAGCATGGGGGAGTGTAGGGGTGAACGCAGAGGCGATCGGGGTGGGTTCTGGGAGGTTGAGCGTTGGGGGGAACGTGGGGGAGGCTGCATCTGGGGAAGGTGCGACTGCAACTGCAGCTGTGCCTGTAACTGCGCTTGTAGCTGTGCCTGTGACTGCATCTGTTGCGACTGCAAGTGTGACTGCAACTGAGACTGTGATTGTGATGATTGTGACTGTAGATGGAGGGGAGACAATGAGCCTTGCTGGTACGCCCCTGCCCTGTTACCCACACTCCCTCCCAGCTCATAATCACCCCCTCCTCCTTGCCCTCCCGACCCATATCCACCCATTGCCAAACCTCCGCCCTGCACCAAAGGCCCCTGCCCCTGCCCCTGCCCGCCCCCAATCGGTCCCCCCATCTGCTGCACTGGCTGCTGCAGCGGCTGCTGCAATTGCCCTCCCGTTTTCTGCCCCTGCTGGTGCCATTTCCGCACCTGCCCGCCCTGTCTTTGCCCCTGCCCTCCCGCCTGCCCTCCTCCCTGGCCTAATCCCATTCCCTGCCCCTGCGCCTGCGCCTGAGAGAGAGGGGCGTGGAGGGGGCTGGGGAGCATATGAGGGCTTAACGGTTCGCCGTCCTGCAGTGGGCTCTGCTGTATTCTCGGACTCAGCTGAGTCGTGGGACTCAACAAATGCTGCTGCTGCTGCTGCTGCTGCTGCTGCTGGGGGAGCTGCTGGGGTTGCTGCTGCTGGTACTGCTGCTGCTGCTGCAGAAGTTGTTGCTGCTGCTGCAGTTGCTGCGGCTGTGGCTGGTACAGCTTCGGAACAGGAACCTGCTGCTGCTGCTGCTGCTGCTGCTGCTGCTGCTGCTGCAGTTCCAGCTGATGCTGCTGCTGCTCTGAACTCCCATACCCCTGTCCCTGCCCCTGCCCATGCCCCAGTCCCGCGCCTGGGCCTGCTCCAAGCAAGGGAGAGGCAACAGCACGCGGCATGGGCTGCAGGAGTGCCTGCCCTGGGTTGGAGACACCGAGAGAGCCGGTAAGAGCAGCGTGGGAGGCGGCGGCGAGTTGGGAGGGCGTGGTGATGGGGACGACAGGACCGGTGGTGGCTGCGGAGGAGGAGGAGGATTTGGGCTTTTTAGGTGTGTAGGGGAGCGTCACTCCCTTCTGCTCGGGAGGGGGAAGGAAGGGAAGAGAAGGAAGAATAGGAAAAAGTATTAGGAAAGGGATGAGGGAAGAGGGAAACAGAGCAGGAGGAGAGGGTGCAGAGGAGGAGGATTCGGGATTGTTGGGCGTGTAGGGGAGGGTCACTCCCTTCTACGTAGTGGGGGAGAAGGAGGGAAGGGGGGGATGGGAAGGAGGGAAGTTGAGACGAGAGAGAAGAGGGAAACAGAGTAGGAGGGCGAAGGCGATGAGGAGGAGGATTTGGGCTTGTTGGGTGTGTAGGGGAGCGTCACTCCCTTCTGCTCAGGAGAGGGATAGAAGGCAAGAAGGGGCATAAAGGGACGCGGGAGAGAAATCAAGAATAGGCATGATGTTCGAGGGTGAGGGACAGGGAGAGAGGGGCACCCAACAGCATGCGGCACAGGCTCAATAGAGCATTTGCCCGGGGTTGGGGGGACCGAGGGAGGAGGGCGGCGGGCGCACGCACGCATGCACGCATGGCTCATTCCACTGCCTACATATCAGTCGCTTTTGAGAATTCTCAACAGCCACCCCCATTCACCCCAACCCACCAACTGCCACGGCCTCTCACCATAGACACACCCACTGCCATCCATCCACGGCCTCTCACCAGGAAGAAGGGGTGCTGCAGCGCCTGTGCGGCGGTGGGGCGTCTGGCGGGGTCCCAGGAGCAGAGAGCGGTGACCAGGTCGATTGCTCCTCCTCTCTATCACACTACACTAGACCCTGCCTTGTGAATCCCCATCGAACCCATACACACACACACACATACACGGCCACGGCCTCTCACCAGGAAGAAGGGGTGCTGCAGCGCCTGTGCGGCGGTGGGGCGTCTGGCGGGGTCCCAGGAGCAGAGAGCGGTGACCAGGTCGATTGCTCCTCCTCTCTATCACACTACACTAGACCCTGCCTTGTGAATCCCCATCGAACCCATACACACACACACACATACACGGCCACGGCCTCTCACCAGGAAGAAGGGGTGCTGCAGCGCCTGTGCGGCGGTGGGGCGTCTGGCGGGGTCCCAGGAGCAGAGAGCGGTGACCAGGTCGATTGCTCCTCCTCTCTATCACACTACACTAGACCCTGCCTTGTGAATCCCCATCGAACCCATACACACACACACACATACACGGCCACGGCCTCTCACCAGGAAGAAGGGGTGCTGCAGCGCCTGTGCGGCGGTGGGGCGTCTGGCGGGGTCCCAGGAGCAGAGAGCGGTGACCAGGTCGATTGCTCCTCCTCTCTATCACACTACACTAGACCCTGCCTTGTGAATCCCCATCGAACCCATACACACACACACACATACACGGCCACGGCCTCTCACCAGGAAGAAGGGGTGCTGCAGCGCCTGTGCGGCGGTGGGGCGTCTGGCAGGGTCCCAGGAGCTAAGTTGGAATATACGCTCGGCTTCCAAGGCGTATTGCGTTTGTGCGCTAGCGTATAGACGCAAAAACGCGATACGCTTGGAATACGCATAGATTTCAGGCGGGCAGCCCGTTGAAAAAAAAAAAAAAAAAAAAACCGGGAATTGTTTACGATGTGGAGCGAAGGGTTGGATGTCGCGAACTCAATCTGGGTTCCCAAATTTCGATTTCGAATTTTGAGCAGCTTCCAACCGCATTGTATCTGAGCATACCTCTCAGATCCAACCCATCCATCCACACCAATTCCACGCACTCAACCCAGGCACATATTCAAGGTGAACTCCATCCAACCTACGCGTTCTTCTTCTTCGTAGTCGACTCATATATCTCTTTTTATAACTTGCGCTAAGGTTCGTAAACCGCTGCAGTCATGTCTACCGGCTCAAGCATTCCTGCGAGTCCGAGTAGGTTGCGACCGCCGAATGTTCCACCGCGTTGGCATTTTCAACCACTTCCGCGCTCCCATCCGCGAGAATCCCCCCTCTCCAAAAACTTTGCGGGGGGGGGGGGGGGGGAATCGTGGGCGTATAGCACCCCCTCCTCCTCCCCTCTCCAGAAATCGGTATATTTACCCTGCCCGAAAAGTTTTTTACCCTGCCCGCCCTTCCGTATTTCAAGCGTATCTCAACACCCTCTCTGGACGTATCGCGTATTATACTCCCGCGGATGTACGCATGCGTACAAAACGCGAAACGCGTTTTTTCCAACTTAGCCCAGGAGCAGAGAGCGGTGAGCAGGTCGACTGCTCCTCGCCATCACACTAAATCCCCTCCCCACTTCCTCCCCCTTCTCCGTAAAACCCCTTTCCCCCATCCACTGCTCTCACCAGGAAGAAGGGGTGCTGCAGCGCCTGTGCGGCGGTGGGGCGTCTGGCAGGGTCCCAGGAGCAGAGAGCGGTGACTAGGTCGACTGCCTCATCTGATGCCATGGGCATGATTTGAGAGAGCGGGATGGGCGAGTACTGCAGGGGGAAGGAAGTGGGGAGGGAGATGGGCAGGTGGGAGTGGGGCAGGACGAAGCGGGGCGAAGGAGAAAGGATGAGAAAAGAAAGAGATGGGTTGGGAATGAGTGTTGTAGGGCGTCGGGCCGAGTCCTAGCAGCAAAGAGCAGTGAGCATCCAGCTGATGTGTTTCGAGAGAGGAACTAACTTAGCATGGCATGGTATGGTATGGCATGGCATGGCATGGCATGGCATGGCACAGCACAGCATGTCACGATATGGCACAGAACAGCATGTCACGATATGGCACAGAACAGCATGTCACGATATGGCACAGAACAGCATGTCACGATATGGCACAGAACAGCATGTCACGATATGGCACAGAACAGCATGTCACGATATGGCACAGAACAGCATGTCACGATATGGCACAGAACAGCATGTCACGATATGGCACAGAACAGCATGTCATGATATGGCACAGAACAGCATGTCACGATATGGCACAGAACAGCATGTCACGATATGGCACAGAACAGCATGTCACGATATGGCACAGAACAGCATGTCACGATATGGCACAGAACAGCATGTCACGATATGGCACAGAACAGCATGTCACGATATGGCACAGAACAGCATGTCACGATATGGCACAGAACAGCATGTCACGATATGGCACAGAACAGCATGTCACGATATGGCACAGAACAGCATGTCACGATATGGCACAGAACAGCATGTCACGATATGGCACAGAACAGCATGTCACGATATGGCACAGAACAGCATGTCACGATATGGCACAGAACAGCATGTCACGATATGGCACAGAACAGCATGTCACGATATGGCACAGAACAGCATGTCACGATATGGCACAGAACAGCATGTCACGATATGGCACAGAACAGCATGTCACGATATGGCACAGAACAGCATGTCACGATATGGCACAGAACAGCATGTCACGATATGGCACAGAACAGCATGTCACGATATGGCACAGAACAGCATGTCACGATATGGCACAGAACAGCATGTCACGATATGGCACAGAACAGCATGTCACGATATGGCACAGAACAGCATGTCACGATATGGCACAGAACAGCATGTCACGATATGGCACAGAACAGCATGTCACGATATGGCACAGAACAGCATGTCACGATATGGCACAGAACAGCATGTCACGATATGGCACAGAACAGCATGTCACGATATGGCACAGAACAGCATGTCACGATATGGCACAGAACAGCATGTCACGATATGGCACAGAACAGCATGTCACGATATGGCACAGAACAGCATGTCACGATATGGCACAGAACAGCATGTCACGATATGGCACAGAACAGCATGTCACGATATGGCACAGAACAGCATGTCACGATATGGCACAGAACAGCATGTCACGATATGGCACAGAACAGCATGTCACAATATGGCACAGAACAGCATGTCACGATATGGCACAGAACAGCATGTCACGATATGGCACAGCACAGCATGTCACGATATGGCACAGCACAGCACAGATGGCGTAGCAAGGCGTGCAAGCACACCTCAGGGAAGCGAAAGTTCATGGAAGCTGCGAGGCGGAGGCCCTGTGGCCATGTCCTGGGAGTTGGCGTGCCAATGACAGCGCAGATCTTGAGAATCTCGTCTATCTCACTGGTACGTGGAAAATGTGGGAGGGAGGAGGGAGGAGGGGTGAGGGAGGAGGGAGGGGGGAGGCGGGGGAAGGAGATTAGTGGCGTTTCAATTGACGAAGATCCGAAACGAGGAGGATTGGTAGAGGAGCGAAGCGGGGGAGGGGAGGAGAGGGAGAGGGTTGGAGATGGCAAGGGAGGAGATGGGTGGGGTGGAGGGGAGATTGTACGGTTTGGCGAGAAGGGGTTTCGGGGAGGGAGCTCCAAGCATTACGTCTATTGGGAACGAGAGCTGTATCACAATGCCTGGTTGTTAGAGTCACTACCTTGTTGCTAGAGCCATTACCTTGCTCCAGGGAACAGAGGCTCGAGAGTGAATAGCTCTGCCATGATTGCTCCTATCGCCCACATGTCTGCATACGTAGAGTGGCAGGGGAGGAGGGGGAAGAGGGGGGAAAAAGAGGAGGGGGGAGGGGATGGGGAAGGGCGGGGACGGAGGGGGTGATAGGGGAGAGAATGTTTAAGTCACTTTTGGGAATTCTCGAGGGAAGAGAGGCTCGAGAGTGAATAGCTCAGCCATACTTGCTCCTATCGCCCACCTGTCTGCATACGTACAGGGCAGGGGAGAGAAGAGGGGGGTGGGGGGGGGCGAGAGGTATGGCGGATGGGCGGGAAGGGGCGGGGAGGGGCTGGGAGGGGAGGGGAGGCGAGCGAGGGAAGGGGAGGGGAGGAGAGGGGAGGGGGAGGGGAGGGGGGAAGGGGGATCAGGCATTACAGGTCATTGGGTGGTATGATGAGAGCGCACAAATTCAGGCAGCAGCGAATGCACACACGCATAATGGTTTCACTGGTGGTAAACCCTACAACCTAAACCCCGAACCATTGGCAATGCAAGCAGCTGAGGAAAGTTATCAGAGAAGTTTACCACAGAAATCCGCACCCTTAGCTACCGAAGCAGGCTGCCTCACCTATAGGGGCGTTGTAAACTGTGGACTGAAGCAACACCTCCGGTGCTCGATACCTGATGGGGAGTCGTGAGCAAGCAAGGGAGGGTGAGAGGGTGCAACGGCGCCGGCATGGGAGAGAACATGGGAGGGAGTGGGTGGATGCAAGGGTTGTGAGGGAGGATGAGAGGAGGATGCGAGGAAACGGCCGAGTGGACGGAAAACAAAATGTGTGCAGAAGAAACAAACAAACAGAGAAGAGGGGGAGGGGGGAACGAGGAGGAGGAGGGGGGTGGGGGGCCAGGGCAGGAAGGGGGGGGTGGGAATAGAGGAAAGAGGGGAAAGAAGGGAGAGGGGAGGAGGGTTACAAAAAGAAATAAGGTGTCGAGACCCATGCGCCCACCCACCCTCACAACACTTACCCGCCCACCCTCCCACCACTGACCCACCCATCCACCCACGTACCCGCCAACCCAAACCCACACTGCCAACCCTCCATCGGGTCGACACATATTTGAAGAAGTGTGTCTCACATATTTGAAGAAGTGTGTCTCACATATTTGAAGAAGTGTGTCTCACATATTTGAAGAAGTGTGTCTCACATATTTGAAGAAGTGTGTCTCACATATTTGAAGAAGTGTGTCTCACATATTTGAGACGTCTCAAAACACTTCTTCAAACACTGCCAACCCACCATCGGGTCGACACATAGTCTGTGAAGGGAGGTCGCGACTTGATCTCCCTTGCCAGGCCGAAGTCGGCAACCTTAATCAGGTCCTTGGTCACTAGCAGGTTCTCTGGATGCACAAAAAAGGAAGAGTGACAGACAGATACACACGGAGAGGAGGGCGCCAGGCACACATGAGAGGGAACACAGTCTGAGAAGGGAGGCCGGGCCGAAATCCGCCACTTTAATCAGCTCCTTGGTCACTAGCAGGTTCTCTGGATGCACAAAAAAGGAAGAGTGACAGACAGATACACACGGAGAGGAGGGCGCCAGGCACACATGAGAGGGAACACAGTCTGAGAAGGGAGGCCGGGCCGAAATCCGCCACTTTAATCAGCTCCTTGGTCACTAGCAAGTTCTCTGGATACATGCACAGACGGAGGGGCGGGTGACAGGCACACATGGGGGGGAACAGGCCATATCAATGGGGGCTGGAACTTGCCGACATCAGCCACCTTTATCAGGTCCTTGGTCACTAGTAGATTCTCTGGACACACATGGAAGGAAGGGTGACAGACAGGCACACGCACATGGATGGAACAAACAGGCACACGCACAGAGAGGGATGGTTTTCTGAGTCGCCTCCCTAGCAACCTCGGTCGGGTTCTTGGTTACCACTGGTAACGAGGTGACTTTTGAGTCGACTCAAAGGTCCTTGGTTACCACTGGTAACGAGGTGACTTTTGAGTCGACTCAAAGGTCCTTGGTTACCACAGGTAACTTACCATGGATAGCAGCATTTGGGAGGGCCAAGGGACGAGCACCTTCACCCACCTGCCTCTGCCCACCTGCCACCGCCCACCTGTGTCCACCCCGTCACCAGCCTTGCCCCTCACCTGGCTTGAGGTCGCGGTGGAAGTAGCCGTGCTTGTGCATGTGCGCCAGGCCCAGCAGCACCTGATAGGCGGAGGGGAAGGCGCACCCACACCCACCTGCTTCCACCCACCTGCCTGAATCCCCCCACCTGCCTCAACCGCCTCCAACCCCTCTGAACCCCTCACCTGGCTTGAGGTCGCGGTGGAAGTAGCCGTGCTTGTGCATGTGCGCCAGGCCCAGCAGCACCTGATACATCCAGTTGCGAATGGTGGACTCCTGAAAGTAGGTCTCTCTGTCCTTCATTAAGTGGTACAAGTTGCACTCCTGCACTCACAGCCACACACAGGGAGAGGAAAAGGGAGGGGATACAGGAGGAGAGAGGAGAGGAGAGGAGAGGAGAGGAGAGGAGAGGAGAGGAGAGGAGGAGGAGAGGAGAGGAGGTAAGTTGTTCCTAAACTCGAATATGAAGAACAGCTCTGTTCTCCCAAATCGCCTCCTCGAGCCACACTAGGTTCCACTATTTACTAGTGCTGTGAGTGCTTTAAACCCGCTCCTTCCACTCCTCAATCATTCACCTCCGCCCATCCTTCCCCCACCCTTCCAGACCCCCCCTTTCCCCCCGCCCACTGCCTCACCATGAACTCGAATATGAAAAATATCTCGCTGTCCTGTTCTCCTGGATCACCTCCTTCAGCGGCACTATGTCGGGGAGGGTGGTTGGTTCAGCTACAAGTGTTGTCTGTCCTTCAAACCTGCTCCTTCCAGTCCTCAATCATTCACCTGCCCCCATCCTCCTCCCAACTTTTCAACCCGCCGCCCCAAAACGCCTCACCATGAATTCGAATATGAAGAACAGCTCGTTGTTTTCCCGGATCACCTCCTTGAGCCGCACTATGTTGGGGTGGTTCAGCTTGCGCAGAGACTGGCGGGGGAAGGGCGCGGGGGGGAGGGGAGGCGGGGGCAAGGTTCAGTGTGTGAGGAGGACGGGGACTGGTAAGGAGGAATAACAACCGCCTAGTCAGTGAGTGGTTAATTAAACCTCCCTTCAGCCGCACTATGTTGGGGTGGTTCAGCTTTCGCAGCGACTGGCGGGACGGGGGGAGGGAGGTTGGGGGGAGAGATGGGAGAGAGGGGAGAGAAGGGGGCAGTTTGGCTTCTACGCCGCACTATATTGGGGTGGTTCAGCTTGCGTAGAGACTATGACTTGGTGAGGAATGCAGGGAGGAGTGGGAGGAGTGGGAGGAGGTGAAGGCTTACACATACGGTTTGTGAAGGTTCTGAGGAATGTCAGACAGTGTACCGGCCTCCCTTTCCCTCGCATCTGGTTACCAAAAAACTATCATCCCCATCATCCCCCCTTCCTCTCTTCTTCCCCCCCTTCCCTTCTTCCCCCACTGACCTATCCCTCCTTTCCCCACTTGCCCGCCCCCTCCTTCCCCCATCTTTCCGCCTCTTCTTTCCTTACTACCTTGACCTTCCACAGGCTCACCCACTCGTCCCCTTTTTCCCCAATCCTCCCCACTCCCTTTCCCCTCCTACCCCATTCCTTCGGCCCCCTGTGCCTTTTCCCTCCTACCTACCTTGACCTCTCGCAGGCTCATGCACTCGTCCCACGAGTAGAACTTGCGCTTCATCTTCTTTACCGCCACCTGGGGGTGCGGGGAAGAGAGAGAAATGGGGAGAAGGGAGCGGGACGGACATGCAAGGGGAAGGTGAACGGGGTGCAAGGATGTGCCCTTGCTCTCTCGCAGGCTCATGCACTCGTCCCACGAGTAGAACTTGCGCTTCATCTTTTTCACCGCCACCTGGGGAAGAAATGGAGGGTGGTGGGGGACGGAGGGGGGGAAAGCGCGAGGGGGGATGGTGTGCGAGGGACAGACATGAACGGGGGTGAGGAGGGTGTAAAGTGACGCCCTCGCATCTCGCGGGCACATGCACACTTCCCATGTATATTCAACAATTCTAGTGGTGTACTCTCAATCTAATTTTTTTCCACTTACAATCTCAACCTACTATAAAGTCAGAGTTCCAATGCTATACACTCACAATCTCGTTCGTGTGCAGGTTAAGCGCCTTCCACACCGTTCCGTAAGTGCCGTCCCCAAGCTGCTTCATCACCTTGTACCTGCACGCGTGACGGGACGGGGGGGGGGGGGAGAAGGGAGGAGGAAGAGGGGTGTGTGTGCTGAATACGACAAGGGATGGTTTGAGACGTCTCAAAACATCTCTTTTATCACGAAGAGGGGTGGGTGTGCTGAATACGACAAGGGATGGGTTGAGTTGAGAGCCTTCCACACGGTCCCGTAAGTGCCGTCTCCCAACTGCTGCATCACCTTGTACCTGCGCTGGGGACAGGGGACGGGGGAGGGGAGAGGGGAGGGGGAAGAGGGGGGGGAGAGGGTTGGGTGTGTACTGAATACGGCAAGGTATGGGTTGGGAGCCTTTCAAACATCCCGTAAGTGAACGAGGAACGGGGAAGAGGAGAAGGGTTTTGAGTCGGCTCAAAACCCGAGCTGTTCATCACCTTGTACCTGCAATGCAAGAATACAAGGTACGAGGAACGGGGAAGAGGAGAAGGGTGAGGGGGAAGAGGGTTGGGTGTGCTGAATACGACAAGGTATGGGATAAGCGCCTTCCAGACGGTTCCGTAAGTGCCGTCCACGAGCTGCTTCATCACCTTCATCAACATGTATGTACACGCATATAACCTCTTCTTTTTCAAATTATAAAACAATGTACTTTAACATGTACAGTGCACCACAACACTCCGCCCTCCAGCGAACGAACGCGTCCAATATTCCGTCCCCCAATGACGCAGATGGAGCTAGCGCTTCGACGAGCACTCGACGATCTGAGTGCGTTTTGGGACGCTTGCTAAGACGTGTTATAACGCGCTGTTTAAGTGACGCGACGCGAGCTCTACGACAAGCACGCGACGTCGAGGACGCCGCGTGTCGAGCGGGACAGGCATGCGCAGAAAAGGCGATGCGTTCGAACCGCAGCAACCCGCGCGGTTCCAACCCGTCGTCTCGATAAAAGATCAGCTTGTTAAGGAACCGTGGATTTTTTTCGTCCACTTTAGGCGCCTTCAGAAAGAGTTGTGGCGAGTGGGAAAGGCGTCGTTACGAGCTCGTAAGGGGAGACGCGGAGGAAGAAACGACGCGAGCTGCGCTAGATAGCAGTGCTCATTCTACTACTCACTTCCACCTTCTCCGTCCACCCTAACCTTCTCCGTCCACCCTAACCTTCTCCGTCCACCGTAACCGCCTTTGTCAATCGTCTCCGTCCATCCCTGCCGTCTCCGTCAACCCTAACGCTCTCCGTCCACCCTAACCGTATCCCTTCCCCTTTCCGTCTCCGTCCACCATTTCCTTCCTCGTCCACCCTAACTGTCTCCGTCCATTCCTGCCCTCTCCGTCCACCCCAACTGTCTCCGTCAACCCTTCCCGACTCCAACCACCCTTCCCGACTCCATCCGCCCTAACAGTCTCTGTCCGCCCTAACAGTCTCTGTCCGCCCTAACAGTCTCTGTCCGCCCTAACAGTCTCTGTCCGCCCTAACAGTCTCTATCCGCCCTAACAGTCTCTATCCGCCCTAACAGTCTCTGTCCGCCCTAACAGTCTCTGTCCGCCCTAACAGTCTCTGTCCGCCCTAACAGTCTCTGTCCGCCCTAACAGTCTCTGTCCGCCCTAACAGTCTCTATCCGCCCTAACAGTCTCTGTCCGCCCTAACAGTCTCTGTCCGCCCTAACAGGCTCTTTTCGACCTAACCGTCTACATCCCTACTCGGCGCAGCGCAATCAGGCAATCCGCGCAAAGTAATCATTAGCCCTTTTCCCTTTTGTCCACCCCTGCCGTTGCCGACCACCCCTGCTTGGCGCAAACGTCGTACTCTAGCGCTCCTCCACGTGCCCTGCCACTCCTCCACGTGCCCATACCCGAACTGCAGGAGCGGGTGATTTTAAGACTATACTCTGAAGTTCCTCCACGTGTCACTACCTACCCCATACACGTGTTCCTGGAATTGCTTAGACGTCTTACCACCTGTCTCTACCTGCACTTTTGTTACCTCAGATCGGAACAAAACAGGCAGATCTAGCAGAGCGAGCACGCACAGAAACGGATAGGGGAGAAGGGAATAGAGCCGCGAAGCCACGTACCTGTTCATGGCGCCTCGTAACGGCCGTACTGTCAGAAGCTGCTCTTCTAACACAATTCGAGGAGAAGATTAGGACGACACAGGGAGATCAGGCTAGAGGAAGACCAGACGATTATTGAATGGCCGCGGCCGGGCAATGTGCGTATATGAACCGACGCTATCGCTGCTGGAGATTATCTCCTAATATAGGAATGGGGGGAACTGTACAGGCAAGTCTCCGTTGGGAAAAGAATTTCGCGACTCGTGATAGGCGGCTGGTCGACCTGTTTTTAAATCAACGAAAAAATTGTACCGTCCTGAGGTGTTAAAGAGCTAGGGTTAGATACGAAGCCTCGTCATTAGTAACCTTCGGTGGGGAATGTCAGTGGAGGTTCTGTAATAAGACGGGAGGGACAAATATCGAAGCGAAGGGTCTAAGCTAGCGAAATGGGAGGGACTTGATATGTACAATAGAAGATAGAGGTGAGAAGAAACTGGACTGGAGCCTTCTTCGAGACTGAACTTGGCATACTAAGCCTCTTGGAAGTATCGTTCCTAACGCTGCAAGTGAAACGGCGAGATGGCGGCAGCTGCTTTGGTTCCCACACCGTAACAGTTACACGAAGTTGAAGGATCAGTGAACGTAGGGAGTGCCGAGTAGACCAAGTATGAGAAAGGAGCGGCGCTTGCGCGATGGTATCGGGAAATTAGGTGCTAGGAAGTCTCTAGGTTGCCAGAGGTTAGGTTGGTTGGGGGAAGCGGAAGGAAGGTTGGCGCAGCTTTCAGCTGCACGCGCAGCAGGCGCCGTGCGCGGAAGCGCCAAGAGCAGTGGAGTGGGGGCGGAGGCGGGCGGAGCGGAGCCACTGTAGCGAATTATCTGGTGCTGGTTCAACTTCGTTCTCGCTGTGCAGTTTCGATGTGGTTTGATTCTCACTGAGGGGAGTTGACAGAGAGGTTCGATTATCGATAGAATATGCTGAGACGGTTCGCTTCACAACGCCTTGCGCCCCGTGAAACCAGCCCCCCCAAGGTTTTGCTGAAATTCTCTTGCTACAGTTGTTCTCGCTTAACATCCCCGAGCGAGACAAGCGCCGCGCGGGCTCTTGTAGCAAAGCTTACAAACCCAAGGCAAACGGGACCTTATAGTCCCAGTTGCGGAACAATTGCATGAAAATCGGGTTTTGCTTCTCTACTAGTTGTTGTTTCCGGTCATATACGGACATTCTGACCGCGCTTTGCTTCAAATGTTTGTCGCACTGTTCTACGCGTTGATCAATGCCGCATGACTAACGGGCATAAATGCACAAAATAAATTATAATTGAGGCCTTAATGAAAAAACAATTATTTTTGTTCTTCCCCGTCAGCCTAGTAATGAGATGTCATCGTCGAGCGCGCTGTGAACCGCGCAACATGATTTAGAAATATGCACGGCCAAGAAAACAAATCAATGAGAACAGCAAATGTAAATATTGAAATTACAACTTCCTTTTTTATCACTTTCTCGTAAATGATGGGCTGGTTCGATTTTGGGTGCTCTGATTGGTTGCCAAACTGATTCTTGCAATGAGCCTAGTCAAGCTGCTAAATTTCCCGCCAAAAAGGGACTGTAGAGGAGGGGCCACACCTAGGAATCATAGGAGCAGTTCCTCATTTTGCAAATAGAATCTTGCCAGCGCCGGCTCTTATCTCGGAACCATTGTACTCCCTAGTGAGCAATTTTTTTTCCCCAAGATTTTGTCACATAATTAACAATACAAAATAACCCTAACCGCTGAAATTCCGAATGTAACCCTAGCCACTGGTTGTTTGGGCTTGGGTGAGCAACCTCTGAGCCACATTTGGTGCACAAGGTTGTCCAATCAAACCACTTGTGCGTGCTTGTAGCTTTTGGCTGGGCGGTTTCGTGGCATGGCTGGTTAGTTCGGGAAGAAAATATATATTTTAACCGGAGACCCGTTGTGTACATACACCTGGGACAGTGTATGCTGAAGACCACTGTGTGTGATACGGTCTCGGATGTGGTGGGAAACCAGGGTAGCAGTAGGACCAACCAAGCACCAACAGAGGACCAAGGGGATATAATTATCCCGGTATACACCCTTAAGACAAATGTTTAGGGTGACGATATGCTTTTCCGTCAACGCATTGGTCCCCCTCCCACGTGAGCCACTGTAAGGCTGGGCGAATCATAGATACGGCTGATTGTCGTTGGTGAAGGGTCCTGAATGTGGCAATAAATTGCCAGACCGTCGCTGGATGGATCCAACGGTTGAACAGTTCGCATGCCGTACACCACCATACTGTGGTTGCACCAATTCAAGCCCCAAACCAACCCCAACCATCAATCATTTGTGTGGCTCCGTTACGCTTCATCTACCGAAGTACACAAGTCTGTTATATCACTAGCACGAAGTGAGAGTAATCCTGTATGAAAGTCACACTTTAAGTTGAAAAAAAAAGAATGAGGACATGTCAATAACAAATCAGTTCTGACACTAATTGAGATGCAGAGAGAAATGCATAGAACTAAATTGACAAAAATGACAATCAGAAAGCTCATTTAGGGTGAAAGAAATTGGCAAAAATTAACGCCATGTTTTCACCATCCGTAGATAATAGAAATACCTTGTTACCCATATAAGCCCCCCGAAAATATCGAAAACCGGTCGATGATTACGTCCAAGCGCGTATGAGCCACACCTTCAAGGGCCACTCCGCGAAGCACACAATCCCTAGCGCCGCCGCTCCAGTCGCAAGGCCTCGTCAGTTGTCACCCATACCAGTCGCATCCAATCCATTACACCGCTCCCCTCGCCGCGCGGTTTTCCAGTCAGAGACAAGCGTCGCCAGACGTCGTGTCGTATCGTACCCGAATTGCCTCACTCCGGAAAAAAAACGTAACCCGCACCTCTGAATCCTTCCGAACCAGGAATGCTGAGCCATCCCACCAAACCGCCAAACGCGGCGTTGAGATTCGCACGTCGCCGTCACCATTCACCAGGCCTGTTGGTCCGTCACGCAGTCAGACCTTTGGAAGTGGGCACGCGCGATACTGCGCTATGGCCTCGAGATTTGGTTAGGGTTTGCCCCGCAAGTTCATTTTCAGGTGACATACCACTGTTTTGTCTGGTTCGCAGCGTAGGAGTAGGTACCGCTTTCAACCGTGTGAAAACATACTCTAACGCAGTGAACCAGCTGATCTGCTACTTATTTGCTGCCTCTTCTCTCCTCGCAAAGCGAAACTTGATACACCTGATGCCTGATTGAGCCCCTCCCGGTTGCCTTGTGAAGGGGGCGTATAAGCTGTATCAAGC